GAAACTGGAAGCAGCCTAGATGCCCCTCAACCGAAGAATGGATAGAGAAAATGTGCTACATTTACACAATGGAGTACTACTTAGCAGAAAAAAAACAACAAAAAAAAAACAAAAAAAACAATGGAATCTTGAAATTTGCAGGAAAATGGATGGAACTCGAAGAAACCATTCTGAGTGAGGTAACCCAATCACAAAAAGACAAACATGGTATGTACTCACTCATATGTGGATTTTAGACATAGAGTAAGGGATTACCAGCCTACAATCCACACTGCCAGAGAAACTAGTAAACAAGGAGGACCCTAAAAGAGACAAACTTTGTCCCCTGGAGAAGGGGAAAGGGTCACGATCCCTGAGCAAATTGGGAGCCCAGGAAGAGGGGGGAGGGAGCTACGAGAATGAGAAGGGGAAGAAGAGGAAGGATGCAGAGGTCATGAGGGAGCAGAAAATTTGAGTCAGGTGTAGATTAGAAGAAAGGGTTTTAGTTGGGAGTGGTAGGGGAGGAAGGGAGGGAGAAGGGAACTGGGATTGTCATGTAACTCAATCTTGTTTGTAATTCAAATTAAAAAATTAAAAAAAAATAAAAATGGCTCCCTAGTCTGTTTAGCTCAGCTGTTTTCCACAGCTGCCTCAGGACCTTTGCTGTATACACGAATCTTTTTTAACATGGATTTTTGTGAAATTTTACACTTTATGTAAAAGGAAACTAATTACTCAAATATAACAATGATATGTTACATTACTTATGCTAAATGGTAACATTATTTTGTATGAAGTTTTAATATTTAAAAAAATACAGCTATATCAGGAAGTTAGAAGTGCTGTGTCACCTAGAAACTTTCTTGACCCATTAGTCCAAATGACTTGTCTGTTGCCATGCTTTTACTCCAGGACATTTTGTGGTGGCCTTTTTCTAAAATGGTCACTGGCCCCATTTACTAACAGCATACCTTTCCTGTTATGTAATCTGAGCAATTATCTGATTCCTGCCAATGTGCATAGCAACTAATGGATATAAATGCTTTAATCATATTTTCTCCAGTTTCACTACTTTCTGCTTGTTAAAAATAGCAGTGAATGGACTTTAGCACTTTCATTTTACACCCTGTAAGAAATAATTTTACTACAATTATCTCATTTTCTCCACTGTCAGATAATTAACAGTGGAGCAAGAAAAGGTCCTTCCCAGATAAGCACTATTATCAAGCATCTTAGAGTTTGCACTTTTCCAGAAATGTAGCCAGCTGACTTTATCTTTCCCTTAAAGTGTGTTTTTATAGTGCCTATTAATTTAGTTTGTTTTAGTAACTTTTCAAATTGATTTAGGAGTCTTAAAGATAGAGAAGTTGAGATTACATAAGACTAAATAAAGATCTATTTCCTTTGAGGTGAAAGTTATGGATGATGCAAATATTACAGTTTTGAGATTATTGATTGTACTACAGTTTATTATAAGGGTGTTCCTATAATGCCCAGTTTGAAATTTTTAGATACTCTCTGATGGAGATGAGCTAGGAGCATGTGGAGCTGAAAATGGTGCCTTCTTCCCTGTTAGGTGAAGGTTGTCGATGAACGGAGGTATCGGAAGGTCTTTGAAGATATCGTACGCATTATGGACAGAATGGAAAATGACTTCCTTCCTTCGTTAGAACTTAGTAGAAGAGAGGTGAGTAAAACTACACAGCTTAATGTCTACTGCTCATTAGTTAACACAAAGGAAACCGTGTCACTTAAAAGGGCATGGAGGTTAACATCTCCACTGGTGTCAGACTGTCTCTGTTTCGGTGTCAGCTTTGTAGTTGGGTAGATGGAGGAGCACATGAAGTGTGTTACCCTCTCAGAGGTGCAGCTCCCTTTTCTGGATCACATGAGTTCATACACGATAAGCTCTTACAGCAGCGCCTAGAAGCTTGGAAGCCCTCATATTACTTACTCTAGTTTGGCGCTCAGTTTGTGTGTCTAAGGGAACAGAGCCTAGTCACAGAATGAGCACCCTGGACCATGATCATGTTCATCAGAGTAGCCTTGAACAGGGTCAAAAGTTACCTAACCCCTTCTTTGCTGGTGGTAGCTAAATCACGTATGAAAGTCAATGGTAGGGAGTTGTCTCAGTCTGTGAATACATGTGGTACACATCTGATTAATAATTACCTTATTCTTGATTCATATTGTCTATGAATAATCCAACTTAACCTCCCCTACTAGTGATGCATGGTTGTGTCTGTCTGTTATTCCCCAGTTTATGTTTGAGAATGTGAAGTTTCGGCAGCTGCAAAAGGAGAAGTTCCAGATCTGCAACAATGGACAGGTTCCCTGCCATTTTTCTTTCATCCCTAAACTTAATGACACCCAATACTGCAAGCCATGGCTTCGAGCTGAACCTTTTGAGGGCTACTTGGAGCCAAGTGAGTTTCCCCCTTTACCATTGCCTCTGCTTGCTACCACCTTGGCTTACCTTTTAGTTCTCTAACCACTTGTCTCTTACTTCACTGTCTTTATATTAGTGGTACCTCTTTGCATCCCATCTCTTCCCTGTTGTTGTTGTGTTCTTGTTTTTGTTTTTGTTTTGGACGACAGTTGATTTTCCACTGGAAAGCTCTGTGCTCCAATGCACCATCTCTTTCATTTCAGATGAGACAGTGGACATTTCTCTTGATGTATACGTCAGCAAAGACTCTGTAACCATCCTGAACTCGGGTGAAGATAAGATTGAAGATATTCTTGTCCTTCATTTGGACAGAGGCAAAGATTACTTCTTGACCATCAGTGGAAGTTACCTCCCAAGCTGCTTTGGAACATCCTTAGAGGCTTTGTGTCGAATGAAAAGACCAATCCGAGAAGTTCCTGTCACCAAACTCATAGACTTGGTGAGACGCATCCTAAAACATAACCTGTCTTCACATTTAATTTGCACGTTTTATCCCCGTTATTCCTGTGCCTTCTCTCTCTCTTCTGGGATCAGGGGAACTGACAAATGATGCCAAAGAATGTCACTTTATCTTAGCACTACTTTAATTTAATTAAATTAAGCTTAAGAAGGAAGAGAAGAGGCTAATCTGTCGTTAACTCTTGTTGTGACTATAGTAGATAATATACTTCCAAAGTAAGATTAAAGGCTCTCTCAAAGCTATCACGCTTGTTAAGCTCAAGCTTGTCACACTCTTTCACATAAATTGGCATGTATGCTAGATGTGGCATAAAACATGCAGTATTATCCTCATTGTGCTTACAAGAATACTGAGGCCCAGAGGCATTCAGTTGCCCATAGTCTAAAAAAGTAGTGACAGATCTACCACCCAGATTTTCTGGCTTCCACTCCAGTATCCTTCCCTACATTATATCAACTTTGCTGCTGATGAGAACAAAGGGCTGCAACAAAAGCTTACAGATCTTGCATCACACCCCCTGGGGGTGCTTACTATAAGTAGTGGTCCCTATCCTCATTCACCACTAGAAACCGAATCTTAAGATATGGAGCCTGTGAATGTACATTTTATTAACATTCCAGACAGTTTTTTCCTTTGGTAGCCCAGGCTGGACTTGAATTTCCTATTCAACTGAGAATGACTTTAAACTTCTGATCTTCCTGTCTCCACCTCCCCAGTGTGGGATCACAGGTATACCTCACATGTCTGGTTTATGCAGTGTTGGGTATCAAAACTTCATGCATGCTAGGCAGGCACTCTGCCAACTGAGATTCAAACTTGGCCCATAGATGGGTGTAATGCACATTGAGGCTTGTTCACTTAATGTGACTCAAGAAAGGAAAAGACAAGTATTTCCTCCCCTTTCCCAAGCCAAGTTATTATATATAATATCTATATTCTATAGTATCTATATTATTTTCAGTCAAAATGTGGTTTAATAGCAAGTTCATCCTGTTAAAAACCTTTCTGATAGATGAAACTATTGTTGGATTTGTCTTCAGGTTGGCACTACGGGTTTCTTCTTAGCTTTTTTTTACCAAATACACTGAAGTAAAGAGCTAAATGTTATCATGTGTATAAAATCACATTGGAGCTTAGACCTGGGCAGAGCTAGTGATTGTGTCATCCAGGAGGAAGTGTTTCAGCAATACCAGCAGCAGCAGCCTGCTGGCT